AAAATATTTCATCCTGTCTATGAGGTCACATTATCGCCATACCAATCGTAACTATCGCAGTCCAGGCTTCCTGGTAATTTACCTCGATGAAACCGGGGTGAATAAGAATCATTCCACTGACAACATGAGGCTACCGTCAGACGGGCAGAAATGCACCATGGTACCATCAGGTAAAGGTATTCATGAAACCGTGCTCTGGGGCATTTTGATGGATGTGAGCTGGTTTTCGAGGCAAAAACGAACACTGGTGATAAGGAAACGAATGGTGATGTTTACATGCACTGGTTGGAACTACAGCTACTGTTGTTGTGAAACAGTTACCGACAAAATTCCGTTTTGAACAACCCCACCCTCAAGATATTAAACTCTTATTTGTCTGTAGTTCGATCCCCTGGTTTCGTCATACTAAAGAGGCTAAAGGGGCATTCACACGGTATACCTAGTTGTATACAACTTGTTGTACCGTGTGAGTGCCCCTTTAAAGATGCCTTGCACTCGGCATTAAGGGGCTAAAACAAGGACTGGTCGGCTCGGAGTCAGTATACTGTGTCTGCGTGGGGTATTCATGTTAAACTGCGGCGTGGTATCTCAGTGAGCTAGCACTATAAATCTGCATCAGTCCGGACTAGTACAAGCACACACACACAAACACATACACACAAACACACCACACCTAATTCCTCTGAAGATTGTCAGAACACACAGAGACTGGACCGGAATACCGAGGTTCCGTTTTATACAGTTATTTCATTACGCAGGTGTGCTGCCACATAACTAGAAGCGTGAATATGTATGCAGTAACAGCTGTACCTGTACTGTCATTATTCCTGGCTTAGTCTCCCGGAAAACACTACCGGGACGTTCCCGCACAGCCATGTAAAGTGCCGGGCAAAAGAAAGTTCACGCCCATGTTTGATGGTGGGTAAAAATTAAACAAACAAGAAACGGTTATTTGATGCTGATGCATTTGATAAGAGATCATTGTTGTGTTTTGGACCTTAAGTTTGCAATGTTTTCAGACTATATACGTTTTGTTATGTTATAATTATCAAATCCAATTTCAGGTGTACGCTTTCTTTTGCCCGGCAGTGTATTTTGAAGATAGGCTGCAGTCACCACCAGAAACTAAACTAGGATATCAAAATACAGTACTGTTTTAACCCAGGCTATGTGGTTAAGCTCAACATCAGCCCCGGGCCCGTTCCCAGACAGCGAATGGGACTTCTCCCAATGTCAGCCAACAGATTGATTACCATACCTAAGACACCGAGAACGATGGGTAGTCTAACAACTTTGTACTTGGGATGCAAGCTTGGCATTTCGTAAGTGAGGTCTGCATATCTGCCATGTTTTTCCTGAATCTTTTCAATCACATTAGTGTCAAAGGGGACAGAGAATTCGATGATATAAATTATTTCATTGGATTCATAAAAATGGAGGTCAAATTTGTTGGCCTCAGTACGTCTGCATACGAGCCTATTCCAAAGATGTTTTTAAATTATACCCATGACGCCCTCTACATATTCTTGGTCGTATCATGAATGAGCAAAAAACCACAAGCATGGCGAAGACGGTAAAAAGGATAAAGTTTGTGACAGAGGTGGACATCCACTGACAATGTGTTGGCCAGTCTCATTAAATTCATTGCATAATCTACATTTCCCTTATACATTTTGTTTGTGACATTTACGGGGTATTATTATTATGATGATGATGATGATGATGATGATTATTATTATTATTATTATTATTATTATTATTATCAATAATACATTCATCATACGTATATGTAGGATATGCCGATTAGCACCACATGAAACTACACTTGGAAAAAGAACGGACGCGATATGTAAAGTTAGTTTTTATAACTACTAAAAATTGTCAGCAATATCCTCGGTAACAGCTGCGCTTTGTTTTTAAACGCATCACTAAAGAATAATGAATTTCAGTAACATATTCTCCTGTTAATGTGAAACACGCTGGTACGAAACACATTTTATGTACATGTAGTCATCTTGCAAAAATGGGTCAACATAAATATTGTTTTTTCTCAAACAATTAAACGTTTAAAATATTGACATAGTTTGTATAAATGGAAAATTAATTATTCTAACGAATGCTAATCCTCTTGGAAACAGGTATACTGGATATTAAATGTCCTGAAAAGGCCGTTACGATAGTGTGCTCATGCCATCAACCACTGGTTTGTCCGATCAAGAAGGAATTACTTGGACAGACGTGTGATATCGGTGCATTTGCTCCGTGTGAGATAAATACAGAATACTAAACGAGCTCCGTGTAATACCAATTTTATGAAACGATTGATTAGTTCGGGTATCTGTCGAGCGAAAGCGTGGATTTGCGTGGATCGATGCTCATGATGTCAATCACTGTTTTGTTTTTGTCCAGACTCGATTATTTACAGACTGCCGTCATATAGCTGGAACTTTGCTATATATTTTGCAATAAATAAACAAACAAACAAAGGATTTCATTTATTACTTTACGCTTATAGCCTTTTAACAAAATTCACTGTCGTTTGTGAGTAGCAGACATCTACGCGATCCGCAGCATGATATTATTGAGTTTAACGGAATCATACTTCTAACACGGCAAAAGTTTACACGTATTAATTTGATACCATTCAACGCCCTACCTTTAGACTTCAGGGATCCGTTCCACAAATCTATCGCAGCACTAAGGTTATCGTCACTCATAGACTTTAATAGGACTGTCGTTGTGCTACGACCGGGGATCTCCACCACAAAGTTTACAATCACGTCAAAATACCAAAATACTATATGACGTAATTTGTGGTATTTTGTTGCAAGATCCGTCGGCCACGTGAAGTTGGTGCAGCAACAGGGTTGCTAGGGTCATCAAGTGAGCATAAGCTCCTCTCAGTGATCTATCATCTCTACACGCAATGCCGTTGAATAAGCCGAGAGATGTTGGGAGTTTTCAATATTTGTTAGAGAAACTTCTTACTGCAATACATAAGCAGGCGCGTTGACCAAGGGATCTTAGCGCAACGACTGTCGTAAGTCTACGTTAGGAGTCTCAGTGGTAAGATCGGTTTGTGGAGCGGGGCCTTCGCCTCTTTCCTATTTATCTGTATGTTTTACGCTTACTTAAAGTCTTTAGTGTCTCATTGGTCACATCCCCAACCCATCCATTGTACATACCCAACCAAATTATTTTGTAATACTTATGCTGTTTAACGCGTGACACTAAAATAAAAACATTCTTCTAATCTTCTACCCACGGGAGGGGCAAGCGGTTAAAGCGTTCCGTTGTCACGCCAAAGACCCGGATTCGATTTCCCTCGTGGGTACAATGTGTGAAGCCCATTGCTGGTGTCTCCGCCATAGTATTGCTGGAATAGAGGTAAAAGCGGCGTAAACCCGTACTAATTCACCCACTCACGCTTTTAATGTGACCATTTTGTAGATTAGCCATGTGGGGATGTATTTCAACACGGTTGATTAACGTAATCCAGGAGATCAGGGATGGTATAGTCCGAGTTAAAGGTTGTAAAGGTGATTGTATAATGTATTGTTTAATTTCCTCTGTCAGGTCAATGGCGACGCAGTGACGTCATTGGTAAAATATTAATCAACACCAATGTAAAGTTGTAGACCTTTTGTTCAGAATCGGTCAGGCGTCCAACAATGCCGACCGCGCCGAAGAGGAGCCGTTGTAAGACCTATGAATTACATTATCACGCGAGGACACTTCTCCTTCCCTCAATGAACAGGATCAAACGAATGCGAATACATATGTAAAACTAAAAAAGGACAAGACAGAGATTTCACTTCATTTGAGAAGATATTTCAGAGCACCAAATATAGTGGCGTTAGTACAGCCGTACTTCAGGGAACGCGGCAGTCCCCAAACGAGACAAACCAGTGGTTGATATTATGATGAGCTCTCATTGCATTCGTGTGTCTGGACACATACTATGCTATGTAGTCGACTCAAAATACAGTAAACTACGGTTATAACGAACACGCATATACCGAACTGACTGATATAACGAACTCATTTTTCAGTCCCGACCATTTGTTGTATGAATGTCGTATATATGCTTATAATGAACTACGGTTATTACGAACTAAAATTAGTGGTCCCTTCGAGTTCGTTAAAACCGCGGTTTACTGTACAAGGTTCGAGAGATTGTAATAATTTATGTAACAACATGCAAACCGTATTTATATTAAACCTTTGTTCACTTGTTTGTTGTTTAACGCCGCACACAGCAATATTCTTGCTATATGACGGCGGTCGGTAAATAATCGAGTCTGGACCAGACAATCCAGTGACTGGGAACGGTTGCATGAAGTAAGGCTTGTCCGTCATTCGCAATAGCGTCATAATAATTATTAACACCCAAAACCTTGTAAATAAAAGCGACAAAACACTAAGTTTCCATAATCATAAGAAACTCTACTAAAGGACATTCCGACTATAATTTCACTTGTCAATTCAAAGTCGTTGTTCACCTGAAAAAGAAACCACGGGTTCATATGGTCCAAATCAAAATAGGGAATTGCATCGGGCATATTTCTTGTCACTGCTGCGTCAAATTTGAAATGTTTACCAAAGTAATCTTTGAAAGCTCAACGAGGTCTCTAATGTTGTAACCCTGATCAAAAAGATTTCGAACAAGAGTCGTATGACGCTCTTTAAAATCTTCGCCGAAAGAGCATGCTCTATTGAACCTGACAATGTGTAAAATATAGCGAAAGGAGCTGCTGTTTGAAATACCCAGTCCACCTCCCACCAAAATAACCTCTGTATATTGACAAAACAAAGAAAACGATGTGAAATAATCCCCGGATTGTTTTCAAAAATGTTCACATCAATATAAATTGAATTCTGAAAACACATAAAAGTCTGATCAGATTGAGTCCAATGATCAGTCCAATGCTTGCCTCCGTCAATGTTACCTTATGACGAGAGGACAGATTAACGGTAACGTGAAAAGCTGGCGAACTTACCAGTGCCGTCGGTTAAGCGCTGCACGTATTATCCAGTGTTGGCGTGGGCTTCCCGTTATGATAACTGTTCAGTTCTATCTAACAGTAACCTGCTAACTGTCAACGGCTGGTGGAGATCGATATCCCTACCTGAAGTGTTTGTCCTTTTCTGTCCAATCACCAATCAGGTATGTTGTGATATAGAATATTCTTTAGCGTGTCTCTTATGAACGTGACCCGCATATTACAACTCATTCACAGTGCTTTATTAATTCCCTGTGCGCCAGAACGGTCGTTTGTAATGTCTCGATTTGTTAGTTCTACAAACCATGTATTAATAATGTGCTTTCTATCTCATCACGTGTTATTGCAAATTTGCCTCAGTCAAGGAATCAAGTTAATGTGGGCGTGCGTGCGTGCGTGCGTGCGTGCGTATGTGCGTGCGCGCGCGTGTGTGTATGTGTATGTCTGCTTGTACTTAATGCCGGTTTTTATTGTGCTAGCTCACTGAGATACCATGCCACAGTTTAACATGAATACCCTACTGAGACACAGTATACTGACTCCGAACCGACCTGTCCGTGTTCTATCTTGTTAACGAGCTCGAGGGGCGGTCGGGTAGCCTAATGGTTAAAGCGTTCGCTCGTCACGCCGAAGACCCGGGTTCAATTCCCGAAATGGGTACAATGTGTGAAGCCCATTTCTGGTGTCCCCCGCCGCGATATTGCTGGAATATTGCTAAAAGCGGCGCAAAACCACACTCACTCACTCACTCACTATCTTTTAAACGAAGACCCTTAGGCCAGCTGTTCAGAAACCTCATGAGGAAATTAAGATTTATAATATATAAATGAAGAGAGTTCCATTGTGTTTCTTTTGCTTTAATAGCCACATAAATAACTTAACAAGGTTTAATGTATCACGACATCAAGGTACATTAAGTACTTCGGAACCTATTACTAGAGTCAAGCCAATGGCTGTTATGTCCTAATGACGCATCTCCAGTCAACACATGATCTCATTATCGGGAAAAATATGATATTCTCTTGTTTTGTATGAAAACAATTTTCACATCTGTGTTTCAACATTATCAGTTGTGATATATTAAATCATAAGAACACATAAAACATATCAACTAAACCCTCGCTTTGCAATCATTTGTGATGCATGCTTCCATTGGGGTTGACTTGTATCCAAGCCTAATGGTGCCACTTTGGAAGCATAATTTTGATTCGAAATTTCTCGTTACTGGTATTTCAATTATTTTCTCGAAATTTCAAGTTCGTTCTGGCAACTTTGAGTTTTGTTTTCGTTACATCGATTATTTTCTCGTATTTTCGATTATGCTTTCGTTTTTCAAGTGCATTTCAAAAACTCGAAATTTCGAGTAAATAATGATTCGAGAACAAATTTCGAAATTTCGATCTTTTTAAATAAAGTTGAAATAACAAGACAATTACGAGAGTAAAAATAGACGTAACGAGAAAATAATTAAACTTACGACAATATGATCGAAGTAACAAGAAAAAAACTCGAAATTTCGAGAAAATAAACAAATAATTGAAATAACAAGAAATTTCGAATTAAATTTTTTTATTTTACCAAAGTGGCACCATTAGGTTTTCGTAAACATTACCTCTTCCTCAGAAAAAGCATGTTTCGCAGATCGTTTCGTCACCAAATAGTGAATTAATTTGTGAATTAAATGTCCTTCGTCACAGAAAGAGGAGTATATTTTACTCCTTTAACCCAACTCATACCAAGGAAAGTACATGTACAGTGCACAAACGATCATTGTTTAATTGTGGATAGGAGAATGTCCTAGGGTTAGAAAGGGTTAAGCAAAGGCTCGCTTGCTGGGGTGCACACAGAGGGTCGGGCTTGTGAGATCAAGCATGTAATTTAGGAGGCCATTTCCTTCAACAAGACTATATATATGGAGCCTACGGTGGCCCATAAGGGACATGGAGTCTGTTTTTCAATATTTTGATATTTCACTTACATTTATCGTAACCTTTTGCAAATCAACACGATTTGTCATACAAATATGTGATAAATCATGTGTAAAGAAGATATTGAATTACTGAAAAACGAAACGAAAATGTCAAAAACTTAAATGAAAATGTAAAAAACACAAAACGAAAACGCGGTGGAAGTAGTTTTCTGTGTAATCATTTTAGTTTTTGACATTTTCGTTTTGTGTTTTTGTCATTTTCATTTTAGTTTTTGACATTTTCGTTTTGTGTTTTTGTCATTTTCATTTTAGTTTTTGACATTTTCACTTCACATTTCAGCGACTCAAAAGCTACTTAAAAGTACATTTTCTATGTTTTCGGATGTTGTTATACATGATTTATCACATATTTGTATGGCAGATTGTGTTAATTTGCATAAGGTTAAGATTAAAGTAAGTTAAACATCAAAATATTGAAAAACAGACTCCATGTCCCTTATGGGCCACCGTAGGAGCCTCGGTTTTTATGGCACCGCTTCCACTGTATTTTCTTTTCAGCCTTTGAAATTGATAGACAGGACTAAGGTGCAAATAAGTCATATTTACATGCCCTTTCAATGATTGGAATACGATATTTGCACTAACGTGTCACGATCTATCCATGTATACTCATGAGACTTGTAATTTCAATATTAGGCAAGGTGCAATTTGTATTCCTGATATATAATATTAACGATACGGGATAGAGTCAGCTAATATTCTTAAAAAATCATTAAAACAACTGATGACGACAGTAGGAAGTCGGTGACATCATTCAAGCACATTCAAAAAACATTCAAATCAAGCCCCGTCCATTCTATTATCAGCCATTCAGGAAACTGTAATTCGTTCGTGGGCATGGCCTATTTCGGTTTATGGAAACATTAACGCAACAATACTTCATCCTTCCTACCACACAGGGAGACACTGGTTGGGCCTGTCGTCTATTGCTCTCAAACATGCTATACAGAGTTGCGTCCCTTCGGAATGCCAAATATCGATGATCGTGGGTTCGAATCCCAGATCAGCCCTGGTAATGGTTCTTGCTTGAAGCACCCTTCCCGTGTTCTTGGGTTTTATTAAAGTGGTAAAAACCTGCATTATGTTTTGCTTTTCATTTGCAGGACATTATCACGACGCACTGAGGTTAAACGCAGTGACTTTAACGAACATTGAACGGAGAAAACTGCACATCAAATGACATTAATTAAATCAAAGTCAGAGACCTCTGCATACTTGAACATGGAATTGGGCCAAGAAGAATTGCAAACGTCAGTCTAAGTGGGAGTTGTGGGCCATGTATGCTTGAATTGGATATCACACCATCGATTTTCACGATTGACAACTCATTTCCTGACCAATATACGCATCTCCATGTCTTTAGCTCCGAGATGTAACACCATCCTAACGATCCTTCTACCCTGTCATAACGATCCCTAGCACCACTTAAATCGAACGTTGATACGCGCAATTATATAGATTGTCTCTGATGCCAAGAAAGCTGTGTTCTGTCTCCCTCTGAGCACAATAATATTAATTTACCTCTTGATTGCCTAATCTCGGCTTTTGATTCTATGGTGCTACATGACTTGGAACATGGATCAGAAATACGGGGATACAAAAATCTACAATTTATTGACCGTGCTTCTGTAAAATTTCAAAAAATTGCCACAGGATTAAAAACATTGACTCCAAATTATATGGTTTATGAGGAGTGGGCAAGGAACTTCTCCACCTACATATCTCAAAACTTGTAACTTAATTCTGGCGTAATATCGCTACAACTACGGTGTGATCAGAAACTTTCCCAAATGGTGTATCGCCATATAAGATACCTACGGGATAAATCGCAAAGAACAATGAAGAAAGAAGCGTGGTGTATATAACGATAAAACATTGTTCTAACATGACGTCATTTCTGGAGTTTCGAAAATGCGCTCGCACCTTGAACGACGTTAGTTTTGAGAGGGAAGTGTCTAGTAAGTTGTTCCCCCTAGATGTAGCTCAGCAACGCAGGCGAACGCAATGGCCGAACAATGTCTTTCAAAAGTTGGAGAGAAAAGGTACAGACAAACGACGTGAAAACTGTGAGAATATCCAGGAAATACCAAACGTCCCCCTTCCCCTGATCATATAATGGACTTGCCCAACATTGGCAATGTCGGATTGTATTCAAACACCCAACTCTCTCCCGCTCCAAACTCCACTCTCCCACAATCGAGGGCCAAACTCTCCCCCGCTCCACAAGCCACTCTCAAACCATCGAGGACCCAACTCTCTCCCTCTCCAAACTCCACTCTCCCACCATCGAGAACCCAACTCTCCCCCGCTCCAAACTCCACTCTCCCACCACTGAGGACTCAATTATCGCCACAATAACAGCCATGACAATGCATTCATTTAACAGCCCTATGTTCAAACGAAATTTTTCGTGTTCTTTTTAATATTTTAACAGTTAAACAAACCACATTGCATTCATGAAACACGCGTATTTCTAATTAAACAAATGTGATTGATTCCCTCATGCAGAATATCAATTATTATCTTTAAAAAGAGCTCGGTGAAAATAGAATTTTCGACCGGAATATAGACAAACAAAGTGATAATCCATATTATCACTACCATCACCATTTTGTTCACTTATGGGTCTAAATAAGGGGGTTAGTTGTATAATCAGAAACGTAATATCAAAGACCTTAACGGACAGGACACCCTCGTCGAACTCGAAGTCGTACAACAGAACCAAGAGCAGCATATAATGACAGATGATATAGATCTGTAATCGCTAAGATCACTCATGCTGGCCTGTTGATAGCACTCTATTGCAATTCACGTGATCACGATGCAATTAACAAGCAATAGATTACAAACTTCAGCTGTCGCGCTCGCACATCCAAACAGCAAAGGACTCGTTTCAGGTAATAGATATCCCTAAGAAAACAGTATGCTTATATGTTTTCAATCTCGCCTATCTAAACAAACTCCCGTTTCTCTCTGGCACAGCGGTTGGACATCAGTAAGAGATAATCTAAGATTTATCTCGTATTACGCATCGTATCGATTTTAAACGGACAATATATATTTATACATGTATTATATCTATCGGGAATTGATTACCATTATGTGAACGTTTGTTGGGAAGGTGTGTTTTTTGGTAAACACATCGTTCACCATTTTCT